GCTTTGGATTGACTCAACTCCAGCCATTGTGGCTGCTTGGGGAATGAACCATAGGCCGGAAGATCTTCTTCTCTGTATATCTGCCTTTCCAATAAAACAAAAACAAAAACAAAAAACCCACCCGGTTTAATGGGAGAAGACATAGGAGTTTGGAATGAACATCAACCTGGCTCAGAAGGTACATTGAAGTAGCTAATAACCTGTTTCTTGAAATGTATATATAAAAATGTCGGGGTGCCCTTACACTCCAGATAGGATCCTTCACATAATTGCTTCATGCAGAAGTATTTGTTGAACAACAATTAGTTGATAGCTCACATGAGCTATCCATATCATTACATTTGATGCTGCTCAGAGGTTTTAAGCAGGCACATGTACAAACACTCAGTTTTCAGCTCTATATTATAAAGAGTAATATGGCTGGAAAATACAGTGATATCCCTTTATAACTTAATGGGGCCTCAGTGGAATTGTTTGAGCAGTGTCTTTGAAGTTGCGCATTTCTTCTGTAGTGTCTAGATCAACAATGTATGCTGCTTCATGACTCATAATTCCTTTTGCAGGGCTCTTTTGTCTGTAGGTTACAGGAATACGAAAAAGCTGGGTTTCATATTTTTGATGATCCCCTTAATATTACCCCCTCAGTCTTAACCTTTGTGTGATACTAATTCCTGAATCACTCCTTCCTTTCAACTTTCTCTCTTTCTCTTCTCAAGTAAGTGACAAATTTATGCTGTAAAGGAGAAAAACATGACAGGCTCAGGCAAATCTGTAATAATCTTTTTTATTCTTCTTCTCCATTACAAGGCCAGCCACTTGGAACCCCAGCATTGCCTCCCTATAATTAACTCTCTGATGCAAGGTTGAGAGGTGCTAAAGAAACATCTTGGTGTTCTAGGTTTTCCTGGTCTCTCTGTGGTGTATGGCTGTCTTCAGTGAGAAGCGTACGTTGGACCCTGTTTAAAAGTAAATCCAATTTTGCAGCTCTGTGTAGTCCTGAGTTTAACATAGCTAGAGATTACATTTTAGTGGCTTCTTTAGGGTTATGAACCTCATTACTGTGAGAGGAAATCGAATATCAAAGCCAACTAGAAACAGAGGAAAAATTTAAGCATGGATTGGAAACTTGAGGGAAGTATTGCTGTAACACACACAGACACACACATGCACGCACACACACATTCATTGTACACTCAAGGATGAAGGAATCAGGAAATAGAAAAAAAACTAATTGTTTCTTAATAATATGTGGAGAAAATGAAATGCTAGCCCTGGCTTAACTCTTTTGGGATGCTGATTAAATGAGGAATCATTTTCATCCATTGTGAATTTTCAAATAACATTCCAGACATATGATTGTAAGAATAACTCTTGGCATCTTGCCATGTCAAGTGTTTAGGACAAAAGTGGCATTTCTTAGTGTCCCTGCCACAGGAGTTGTACACATTTAGCCTTCGATCTCTTCCTGGTTTTGAATATGATTGTGAGACAATTGTGCACACAAGGCTTATGCTTCTCAATGGATTTATGGAGATCTGGAAATCTAACCCAGCTTTGTCTACCTAAAGCCAGTTGACTTGGGAAACAATTGAGACATAATAAGGGTTATAAAAACTTTCTTGGAGATGCTGGGTCAATGTTGACTGACAGAGCAAATATTCATGTGGTTAGGGTGCCCATTTGGTTAGCATGTCCGTGAGGTCTGAAGTATGAAGATGGTTAGAGCTACCCCCTCAGTGGTAACAACATCCCATCCAAACTAACCTGTCTGTCCTCTTCACTCTGTGTGGGTCATTAATGCAAGATGCTATCTGTCTTCAGGAAGAAACTCTCTTGAAGAGAAGAGCTGACTTATCTTACTGCAAAGCACTTCGAGTGTGCAGTTTCACTTAGGGAAATTTTATAAACAAATGCTCAACTTTTGCTTGCTTTTTTTTCTTCTTCTTCTCTAATTGATTTAAATGTGAAATTAAATTAGCGGTTGATGAATAGTTCCTGTGCTGCTAAAATTATCTTTTTTTCTTTCAGGAGAGGGGAATCAGCATACATTACTAGCCTGAGCACTTTTCATTCAAAACTTTAATGGATCACTTAGAGATGCTCATGCTTTGTCCTTTCCGAGTGGTAACAATTTATTGACAAGGCTTCCTCAGGCTCATACTTGCTTAAGCAATTTTTCTCACGAATCTCCAAGAATGACCATGAGCTGTCACACTGTGATTTTTGGCCCCAGCATCAGTAAGGCACTGAAAAAGCCAGAGCAACAATGCTGATTTAAAGCACACATTCAGGTATTTTTGCTTCCCATCCTAAGCCACAGGGAGCTGACTTGGGCATCCACTTTTTTTTTAAAGATTTATTTTATTTTTATTGGAAAGGCGGATATACAGAGAGGAAAGACAGAGAGGAAGATCTTCCGTCTGATGATTCATTCCCCAGGAGGCTGCAATGGCTGGAGCTGAGCCAGTCCGAAGCAGGAGCCTCTTCCGGGTCACCCACGCGGGTGCAGGGTCCCAAAGCTTTGGGCTGTCCTTGACTGCTTTCCCAGGCCACAGGCAGGGAGTTGGATGGGAAGTGGGGCTGCTGGGATTAGAACCGGCGCCCATATGGGATCCCGGGTGTGCAAGGTGAGGACCTGAACCCCTGTGCCACCGCGCCGGGCCCTGGGCATCCACTTTTCCACAAATAATAGTGAGGGGAAAATCTTTGCCGTGCATTGTAACATTTATGATTTTTCTTGCAGAAATTCTGAACAATTACCACAACAAAACATAGTAAAAGAATGCACAAAACACAAAATATATAATCATTTCTTCTCTTTTTGTGATTATCTGGAATTCCACAGGACGTAATCTCAAAGATTCTGGCATCTGTATAGACTGTTTGTAAAGGAAGTTTCAACATGCAACATTAACTGTTTAAAAAACACTGTTATTTGCTATATAGAGAATGAGCACTTACCCAAAAGTTGAGAGTTCTTTTCTAGTCCAGATTAATTATAGGTCTCCGGGTAATATGAAGACAGACATTTGTATATCATGGGGTCAGTTTAGAGTCTGTTATCTTTGGGAGCAACCAAGCCTTTGGTTTCTTGTGAGCTTTGTGCCTGCCTGTGGATGGAAACTGTGCAATGTTGTATTTGTGTGTGGGAGAGTTGGGGTGGCTTGCACTTGGCTGCAGATGGGAAAGAAACATGGTTTCTTGCATAGTGAGAACCACGGTTTTGAGAGAGAATTCAGAAGTAGTTATGTGTTACAGTGTTGGAAAAAGTGAATTAGCCTCTGTGCTTTCAGTTTTCCTTTCTGTGCAAATGCAGTAGTAAAGTCATAGAATTCCAAGTTCGGCTGAGTTTCTATCTGTTAGTCTGGAGTGTTTGCTACAGTGATTGGCAAGTAACAAACACTTAGACCATCACTGCTTCCATTCCAATAAAAAAGAAACTAAAGGTACGTTGAAGGTGAGCACTGATACCTAAGCTTTGAAGAGTATGGCAGGTTAAGTCGTTCTGTTCTCCTTTGGATATTCTTAGTTATCTTGCAGAATGATGATAAAAAGGGATCTGAAAGTCTGAAGAATCTTAGATATCTGACATTTTGTCTTGATGTTTTCCCATAGCATCTGGATTTTCAGCTGATATGCCTGAACATTATACTGTATGGGAATCTTTGAATTTCATGAATACTTAATATCCTCTATAAAAAAGTTTCCATACACTTGAGATAAATGAGATGTTGTTTAAAAACTTTAGCAAATTTATAAGAGAATATATAATGAATGTTCAAGCCTGATAGTCCCTGTATATCATTTTGCCCAGTGAACCAAGGCTGCTTCAAACTGTAATTGATTGCACCTAAGCAGTTAGCTGAGAAAGAACAATTGCTAAATGCTAAGTTATCAGATCCCTCTATCATCTCCGGTTGTTCTTGATTGATATTTTGAGTTAATGGATGAACATTGGGTCTTGAGATAGAACTATGATCTTATATCCATTCTTTGAATATCAAGTGAATACTACTCTGTGATAGTCTACTGTGTAGACTCTGCAATAGATCCAGCTTGCCCTCTTGTAAAACGATGATGTCTACTGATGGAAAATAGACATCATTTGTCATATTCATTTCAGATCTAACATTATGTGAGTCCATGATGTGCATAGCTTCTTGTACCCAATGCAGAAAATGATTGGACCAGTTGCTTGTCATATGACAATGTGAGACTGGCCATGATAGCATGAATATTCTGTCAAGGAAGGAGAAATGGAAACTTTTCCTTGAGCCTCGTTTAGCTTGGAGGGAAGAATGTCAGTGCTTGCTAGACTTAAAGGAGCTCTCCTAAAGCTATAAATTGGCCATTAGGGAACATAATCAGATCAGTTTGTAAAAGATTCACAAAGAACAGTTTGACATTGTAATCTTTCTCAGCAGCTTGAATACAAGGTATTAATTAGACAAGGAAGGAGGGGGGCACTAATTATTTCTTAAGTGGAATAATTAGTGTTGCTGAATTTATAAGTTAAAGGGCTTCATTAAGGAAAAGAAAATCAAATCATGTTTGAACTGCAGGGATATCACTGAAAATATGAATTGCTTTTTGAAGATTGTACTTTGATCTAACAGTAAGTAAGAAATGTCTGTCTTAGACCCTTTGGGTTTATTTAAGGGCCAGGTGATACATGAACTTGATATAATGTTATAGAAAGAAAGGGCTGTTTTCCAGGATTGATGGGTAGAATCTTGTTATACTAAACTAAAACTTTATCAAATGATATGCTACCTTTAAAGATGAACTGTTTGACCATTAAAGGTATATACATCTCCCTGGGCATATGCTTTACAATCAACATCAAAAAGTACAGTAGGGATATGAGTGGCGTTGGAGAACTGGACAGTCTTACAGTGGGGTGTTCTATGCTTAGCATAAATGGTCCTTCTAATTAAATCCTAATCTTGCTGGATGGATTAAAGGCTGACTTCACTCCCTATCTCCTACCTCCGGCTTGAGTGTCAGTGTCCCAGTAACCAGAGCACAGAAGCTGGGGGGTCATTTGCATAGTTTCAGTTCTTCCTGTTCCTGTGGCAGGTGTCTGCCTCCTCAAAAGCTGCTGTTTCCTGTTTGTTTTTTCTGCCTTTACCAGCTCATTCACTGGACTGGTGAACATGAATTCACCTTGATCTTATCCTCATATTATGACATGACATTTTTAAGACATCACCACACAAAATGTTAAAATGTGTAAGAATTATGGTGTAGGCCTTGTAGTAAGAATTTGGGATAGGAGTTGAGAAAAAAAATTTTGAAAGTCTTGGATTAAAGCTGTAATGCTGTGTGTGCTTGCTTTAGGTCATCTTGCAGGGGCAGCAAGTAATGCTGTCTTTTTTAAGCATACTGAGAACAAATACCTTTGGAGGAGGATCTATGTTTTGGCTACACAACAAACAGATCAAGGAAAGGTCTCATACCTACACACACACTCCCATCTAGTGCACATTGAGCGGCCAATGGGCTAAATATATAGTTGGAAATGAAAAAACAAAAACAAAAAAAAAACCCCAGCTGGGACATACTCCCATCCCTCTTAAGCTACATAGTAGTGAAAATAGGAAAAAGAATTGGCATATGATACTATGACAAAATTTTCTATGGATTACCAAGGAGCTTTGGATAAAACATTGATTTCAAACATCTTTGGATGTATTTGGAAACTTTCTTTATGGAGATTATTTCTTATGGAAATAAACTATTTCTTTATGGGAACCAATGTTATGTACATACGCACTAACTTATGCAAGTGATAGGATCTTTTGTTATATTCTATTGCTGCTTTTTTAAAATGTAAAGCTCATGGTGTGAGCCAAAATATTAACTAATTGGTCTTCAAATGAATCACAGTGTACAGCTTGAGAGACCTCAGTGTAGAAAATTCTGGGTTTTTGAAAACTGTTTCTGGAAAGAAAGTTAGAACGGGTTTAGCAAAAAAGTGCTATCCTTCTCTCTTAACACATGCCACAGCATTAATGCCTCACAGAAAATGCAAGAAAAACATTGGCTTCGATGGGATAAGGCTGAAGTAACTGACATTGGCTGAAGCGATGAAAGCTTGAGCACAAACCTGTGTATTTTGAGATTGGTCTTATTAAAGGTAGTGCTGAAGATGCATCTTGCAGGAAAGCATCGCAATCCAATCTTTGTCTTATAGAGAACATTTTGGTTAAACTCACACAGGAGAATGTTGCAATTAAAGTAAAGTTACAAAGTCCATTAAGGATTCTTCAAAGTGTTTGGGTTAGAACATTTTTTTATGTTGTGCTGGCAAATTGAGGAGATTGTTTTGCAAACAGCCTATGGTGATATACTTGGGAGATGACAGAAATTAAGGAATGGATGCTGCCACTTGGGGTTCTGTCTTGGGTCTGGGAGTGGATTGAGGTGACCTTAATGGAAACAGGAGACAAGAGAAGGAAAGACTGGAATGAGAGGGAAATATGAAATTCCACTTTTATATAACATGTAGAACTTACGTACCTCTGTAGGACCCAAGTCCAGAGGTGAAAATCAGCCACTTTGCCTTTGAGTCCTTTTTGTTTCACTGTTATCATATTTGTCATTTGTTATCAAGATAATTTTCACATTGTTTAACATGTTCTCCACAAAGAAAACGTCAGTTATTACATATCATTCTACTGTATAGGCAGAGCATAATTTAATGCAGTTTTGTTTGAATTTCCAAAGAAGATTCCATTCCAGGAAAACCAACCTACTGTTTAAAAACTCAGATGATGAAGTGAGTGTGTATAATCATTATTGTCAATAACAGTACTAGTATCTAAATGTTGAGCTCAAAGTGTGACTTCCCTCGTCGTCGAATTAGTATCTTTTTCTTTCACAAATTCTCTGTCATTCGTAAAATGTTTAATATTTAAATATTATGCAATAGTGCCTATTTGGTAATTTTTTTTTCTGTTCATAGTATGTGTTCATGCTAGTGCAGTTAATTGTGCTGCTATAGGAAGAACATGCATTGGATATAACAATATGACAGGGATCATTCTAAGCATGCTATACAGGTACAGGTACGTGTGCATATATGTCTTTGAGTATATGTATTTATATGTGTATCCACAAAGGGTTGCACAAAGTTATGAAAAGTTCACGTTATCTTTCAGTGCCATTTTCACATGGAATCTTTAAAGCTCCTTCCTGCATGTACATTCTTATTTGATACTGACCACGGACCTTTAGGGATTTGACATATGTTCAAGTCTCAGCGTTAGCTAGTAATAATAATGCAATTTCCTTGTTTAACATAAAAAAAAAAACCACAGAAACTGTAGGACCTGCAGGGACTTTCCCTGGTCTTGAACAGCACCCAAATCCGTAGTGTGCCATTTTAGACTACCTTCCATTTGACAGATCACCAAGAAACAGTAACTGAGTTTGAAAGTTATTCAAACATATTATTATTCAAAAAGATCTTCATTCAAATTCATTTCTGAGAGCACAACGGAGACACCACTTTCATTTTTGCTTCCAACCTGATTTTAACTTTAGATCCTGAGATGGGAAGTCATGTGGGGATTTTGATAATATTCATATTAGTGTTTCAATCAGTAAATGATGTTTTTGTGACTAATATTTCCCTAGCCATTTATTTTCATTCCTCTTCTGTTGGTCCAACAGGCCTTTTGTGAGCATAATGAGTTTTGAAAGAAATGGAGTGATATATTAATTAACTTAGCTAATTAGCTTGAAGAGCCTTGATTTTCAAACCCCAAAGTGTATATATTATTTACAGAAATGCGTGTTGGGAGATGCTGGTTGTGATGGTTTAGGCAACCAAGCAGTGCTTCATGTGGGAAGCACCTTCTAGTTTTAGAAATTGTGAGAAAAAAGAAGATTGAGAATTCTCAGTGACCTGGGTTGTTTCCTGTGTACATCTTATGACGGATCTCCAATGCACATAGAGTTTGTGCTCATTAACACAGCATGTACCACATATTAGAACCACCTTCTATTCCGCTTTGACTTTAAAAAAAATATTTTTATGTGTTTAAAAGGGGACAGAATAAGAATCTTCCATTCACTGCTTATTTGCCAAAAAGCCTGACATAGTGGGACCAAGATCAAGCTGAAGCCAGGATTCAGAAACTCAGTTCAGTCTCCCATCTAGGTGCCAGGGACCCAAGTATTTGAGCCGTAGCATTGCACCTTAATAAGAAGCCAAATGCTGAAATTGAGAATGAACACAGGACTTGAAACCAGATATTTCAAAATAGGATAGAGATGTCCCAAATGGTGTCATAACCACCATTCCCAATCATCTCTCCTCCAAACTAAATCTCATTGGAACTAATTGTGCAAATACCTATCACAGGAGCTCTGGGGTTTGATGCTACAAATTGTAGTTAATTAAAACCCCGATCATTTCATTCCAGTTTGAACAGAATGAAGCAAAAAGTGCAAAGGAACGAGGGTGAGGTATCAACAGCAAACTCTGTCACACCGAAGGAAGGTCATTAAACAGCAAGGACGATCGGCTGGCTTCTGTGCTGCCTGTCTCCACGTATTACACAGTGATTCTGTGCTTCACACCAAGCGTGGCCTTACCTTCCAGAACTCTGAATCTTTTGATAAGACTTCTTGGGGGTGTGAAGAAAATGCTGTATCATAATGAATGTCAGGGTAAGGCATGGTGAATATTGTAGGACAAGAGGAAAGGGAGCTTGAAGAATCAGAGTAAAGAGGCGGCCCCAGTGGCAGTGTGTTGCAACCCACACAAGCCCCTTCCCTTTATGACATTCTAGAATGTTTTATGACTTGGTCTTATAAAGAATTGGAAAAATACTTTCTTGTACTAAAAATTATGAAATGCTGAAGTCTGTGCTTAGTATTTTTTTAAAAAGGATTTTGATCCTGATATTTATTTTCAGAATCTCAGACTGATATTTGAGCACGTGCTGAGTCACAGCATCAGGTCATGAGACAGATGGGATTTGGGTAAGGATGATTCTTCTCCCAAACTTCTGTGCTTTCCCCAGCAGAGAGGAGCGGCGGTCTCCTGTCTCTCGGAGGCTCCTGAGGCTGCTCTTCAAGCCATTGGCTCTCCAGCCGACTCCTCCCGTGAAGTAACTTCTATGTCTCAATTTCTCCATAGCTTCACAGTGACTCAGATCACTTTGGAAGTAGGTGGATCTATTTCTGAAGTTCTACCTGCTGGGAGATACCCACTGCCTTCTGCATTGCTCCTGTCAGTTGTCAGGGCAGCATGCCAAGGCGGGCCCAGGAGGGACAGCTGTGACAGTCCAGAACTCCTGGAGAGCCTGGCAGAGATTGGCCCTACCCACAGGCACTTCAATTTCATAGGAACTTTAAATGAGGAAAGCTTGCAAGGCTTATTTTAAAGTTTTGGGTGAGACTTCACGCTGCAGTCATGTTGTTTTTGCAAACGGATAGGTTGGTCTTTGTTCTTTAAGCATGTGTGCCTTGCAGAGATCCCGACTGATGTCTGCTTCTTATTAAATGAAGTGGGGGTGGGGGGCGTGCTCCAAAGAGACAGCATTTTAGATGATGGGGAGGGAAGGAAAGCAGCTTTCTGTATCCCGAACATCTGCTTAGTAGCTAAGCTGCATGGCCACTTAGAATGTTAGGCAATACCTGAGCTTCCAAAGGTAGAGCTTGTTACGGTACAATCGTTACTGTTCTTGTGGTCATGCTCACACTCAGTGACTTAGCAATGGGAATTTTTACATTCTACTTCGTGGGTGTTTATCCCTTCTTTCACCAGAAGTCTTGCCATCTTCTTACTTGGAGATCTATGTAAAAGTAGGAAAGTTATTTGTGTGTGTGTTGTGTTTATATATAACACTGTACATGAGGAAACTTCAAAAAGCTCTTGGAAATATAATTGAAATACACTGACTTGGATGCTAAGTTTTGAATTTCATGCACAGTGCTTTTTTTAAAGTGTTCTATTTTGAATGTTTTGAATTCTTTTAGGAGTCTATGTTCATATGCTCTATTTGATTCTCTGAGCAGTATTATTGAGTGTTTTTTTCCACATTCAGATCATGCAACAGAAAATTAAAGATATTAATAATATATCCCAAGCTACAATCCTGAGCAGCATAAGGAGGTTGGAATCAATAGTCTCTTATTTTCTGGGGATTTTCTTCGCTGCCCTATACCTACTGGATAATTAAAAGAAACCTCAACTGTTGCTTCCACATTATGGATCCTGATTTATAGAATTAGGATGGCAATTTTTCAAGGAAATCCAGAAAAGTACTCAGCTAAGGAGCAAGCACACACCCAAATCTGCTTTCCCTTGTTTTCTGGACTTGGAATCTTCTAAATTAAATATGCAGGTTGAACACTTTAAAATAAGTTGTTTGATCAGAATCAGGAGGGCTTTTCTGCTTCTTTGTTTTTAATGAAAACCGACACAAAAGGAGCTAAGTTACCGAACTATTTTACCAAATGCCCGTGATGGCCTGGACTTGTGCAGGTTAAACTCAGGACATGGGAACTCATTTGCATCTTCCAGCTGGGTGGTGGGTACCTGACCACTTGGGCCATTGCTTGCTGCCTTTCAGAGTGTATCTGAGCAGGGAATTGGGACTAGAACAGCAATATTTCCCAAGGTGGGAGGTTTTAGGATTCTATCAAGGGATCAGAAAGGACAGAGTATTCAGACTTGCTTGTTATTCTCAGAAATAAAGATGGACCATGGTATTTCTTCCCCCTGCCTGGGCAGTTGGCTGCCAGTGAATGCTATCATTTTGTTATATTCAGAGTGGCTCAAAGATTCAAATGTTTCACTACTTAACCCACTCACTGAAGATGTTTGGGTGCAGTATTGTCCCTGAAAATGATACCATGGTTAAGCAGCTCTGGGCATATCTCTGGATCTGGTGGGGGTAGGGCTACTGGAAATAAACTAATCTGCTATGCAGCTGTTTAACCAGTTCTTGGGAAAGTGTTTGGCAGAAGCTTGGATGGGGAAAGCATTAGAGACCACTTCACCGGGACAGCTAACGTCAGACACAAATCTGTGTACCCTCTTTGAAGCTGCCAACATGATGCTGTGTGTCAACCATTCGATTCTCAAAATTCTTGGCATAAACATTAATAAGTCAAAATCAAATCTGCTTTAGGAGGCATCCAGATTGCCTGCCTGTTAGAGCACACATGCTTCTTCCGTGATGTGTGAGAATCTTCTCTATTAATTATGCCTCGGAATCAGTGTGAAGATCGGGGTAAGGGGCCGGGAGAAGATGAATGCGCTAGTAACAGAATGAAGTAGAGCAATTGTCTTGGAGTTCTTGGTATGTGAATTAGTAAACAGCAATATGGCATCTTCCTGCCTAATAACAGAAACGCCTACATCTGTGATATAAGAGTGCCAGTGTGCGAGTCACTATTATGTTAACATAAGCTAAAAGGGCAACTCAACCAATTAGGAAATGTGGATGCCACATCAACACATGTTGATGCTATTCATGGAATAGTTTGTGCATAAGCTCTCCCTAAAACATCACAGCAAAGTTTCTTAATGATATAGATACAGACAATGAGAAAGGGCATTAAATTTGACAACCCAACTCACGTTTACTTTCTCTACTATTCTAATTGATGGTAGGGAAAAAAAAACTTGGTTCTAATGAGCCATGGGTTCTCTTTAGTGCATCATTATGCCTGACTATATCAGAAGTTTGAGAATTGTTCAGCATTGGGAGAAGCTTGTTATTATATGGCTGTTGTTAATCCCTATGTTGTGATACCATACTGCACTTGTTAATGGCATGCTTTTTACTTTGGTTTATTTTGTTTATTCAAATGACTTAATGCTGCTAGTTTTGTTTATGGAAATAGAGAGAAAGGCCAGGACAAATGTAAGATACAATGAGCAGAGTGTTGACTTCCACCTTCCAGTTCTTTTCAGGCCTGGAATAAGACCATGCAATATTGATAGCATCCTGACTTTGGAATGAATATCTAGGAAGTAGAATTTTACATCATCTCTGCTCAAGATCTTCCATTATCACATAAATGCAATTTTCTTGCCATAGCAGCTGTTTGCTTTTCATTCATTTCTCCATAGAAAAATCATGGCCAGTACTTGAAGCAACAGAAGTGAATAAATGAGTCTTCCTCCCACTGTTTTCTCTTTGTGTTTGAGAACTTCATGCCAGGCTTTTTCTGTGATATGGGGGTAGACTGACCTTAGGCCTGTCTGTGTGGCCATGAGTTAGTCATTGCCATTATAAATTTAACATGCTTTTCTGGGAAGTGAGGTGATGCCTTGTCAATTCATAACACAAATTTATATATCAGTGATCTATAACTCAGACATTTGGAATTTCATGGGAAACAGAAGTTTTGATGTAAATGTGGATTAAA